TCTGTCTATGTTAATTTTATATTTTCTCTTTCTTTCGTAAGTAATTTGGACCTATATTTTCAAATAGATATTCCTGGGTCTCAGTGGAATACAGGGACTATATATCGAAGGAAGAACTACTTCAGGAAAGTTGTAAAATAATTCCCTAAAGGATTTTAAGATGAAACAAGAGAAGCAGCTGATTGAGATGGCCTAAACCTCGAGACTTCTGCTGCCATAGCAGATTGGATTATAAAATTCAGATGCTTCCTCTCAAGTGTTTATGCTGCATTTGATAGTACTTTAAAAAATTCTAAAATTTATTTATCTTACTGATTTTCAAAGTATTTGTTAATTTTATGAGTTAGGGTTAGAACCCGTCCTATAGCCCAGTCTGAATTCTTCAACAAAAGCTCATGTTTTAATTGTGAAGGGAGTGCTTATTGATTAGTAGAATAGACAGCCCAACTCTCTAATATTTGCACTGCCAATATAAATAATGGTTGGTGGTGGGATGGTGATGGTGGTAGAATTAAGGACCGAAGGATTAAAAGCCTCCATTATCATCTTCCCATGACCTAATTGCTATCTACTGTATAGCATCTTTTTCTGACAACTGTTCACTATATAAACTAAATCATATGATTGGTAATCAAGTCAATAACATCTGTTTTAGCCCCAGAGGTATGTGCAAAGCTAAAAACTTGCATCCAAAGGTTTGATTGATGCTTATGCATACATATGCAATTTTATATTGTATTATACTCATATAAACAGATCTTTAGTTAACCATCCTTTTCAATGCTTCACATAATTTATTTCTTGAACCATGTTGTTGCTGGCTTTGCTCTGTCATAGAACCAATTAAACGCCACAGTGTCTCCTCATTCACCCTTTTTTGCATTTTACTACCTTTTGACTCTACTTAGTGGGATGTGGATTAGTGGAAGTGCCAGTAGGAATGAGGGACCCCACAAATGGCAATTATTTTTAAAACATTATTTGCAAGGTCAATGAGAATTTTTCTGTGTTCCATGTACCTTTAAAAATTGTTTTGAACTTGTGTGCCTGTAAACATATAGAATGATTACCATAGTTACAGAATGTAAAGACCACATTTTAGACTATTATAAAGATTATATCTTAGGTGTAGCAAACCAGGGGAAAAAAACCCTCTAGGCAGAGTAGCAGTCAATGGGTGAATGGTTTTAAGAATATAGAATGTGCCCTAAATGGCACATTCACTCTCTGCTATGCTTTTAACAAAGAAGAGAGAATTTAGAATGTGTTGTGCTGCAAAAGAAGAAGATTCCAACCCAGTTCAAGAAAGTCCGAGATTACAAACACACTTAAATGAGAATCAAAGTAGTCGTTTTTAATTATTACATCTTTTCCATCAATCTGTTTGTGATTGGGGAGGTTCAGGCACTTGCAATGAAGCCCTTGGATGAGTCTCAGTGTCCCATGTATTTGGGCAGGATTTTATACATTGAACATACTGAGTGACCATGACCCAAACCATGTGTTTTTGCTTACAATCACTATTTAGAAGACAAGATAACCCATCTAATGCATGCAGATTTTGTGATGGACATTTATTGCTTGGGCCAGAGATGTTACCAGATTGTTCTCAATCATCCCAAAATAATCAAATTCTTCTCTCCCCAAGATGGGATTTAAGCTGACTTCCAAGTGAATTTTTAATCCTAAATGACACAACTAAGGTCATTAGTGCATTTTTGTGTAACAATATATTTTGTATAATGCCATCATGCTACATTACACTTCACTACATTAGAAAACTCTCAAATTATGGCAACTAATTCTTAACAACTAACACATTTTGGGGGGGGGGTGGCTTTAAATTTGCCTTTATTTTGCTTTGTTTGGGTATTTTATTACTGTTCAGTTTCTTTTTATCTTTTAATTGTACATCACCTTGAATGAACTGATGAGCAGAAATGTGATCTCTAAATAATAATAGTAATAATATGACATAAGCATGAAAATGAAAGATGTTCATGCATCTTACCAATTATAAAACCCATATGTACTCTTAGGTCCATCTGTGTAACAATCAGTGATGAATTCTGCCACAGATGAAAGTACAAGCAGAAAAATTCTGATCCTGGAAATAAAATAAAGAAGGTAATGAAAAAGCCAAACATTAAAGCTAAAATTAGCTGCAAATAGAAATCTACTGTTCAGGCAGCAAATGTGATTTTCATATGTGTCGTTAGTGACATCACCCTCAAGTCCCGCTGTGCTACCTCATGGTGGAAGACAGTGTTCCCAGTAGGGGTGAAAAAAGAAAAGTGGGGGTGTTTGCCAACAATTTATGATCCCAGCACTGTCACCCAAGGCATGAAGGTCATCCATGCGTTCAGTTAAAGAGAGCAGGCACCTATATTGGGCAGCAGTGACATAAGAAGGTATTGGAGATGGATGATCACTTTAGTGACAATGGCAAAGGCTCCATTTCATATTGTGTCAGAGAAGGTAATGGTAAACCACTTCTGTATTTTACCAAGAAAACTACATAGATAGACAAGATAAAGTGGTTGACGGTATAGTGCCAATGATGGGCCACTCAGACTGAATGGCACTCAACATGCTATTGAGGAAGAGCTGAGGAGTACCAATGTTTTTTGGCTAGATTGAAGCCTTTGGACTACCTAGTTGCTGATGTTGCCATGCAGAAGAAGAAAATCCAAAGCTGCAAAGCGAGAATTATAATAGAAACATGAAATATAAGAAACATGAACAAGGGAACACTCTAGGCAATGAAGAATGAAATAAATTGACTACACATTGGCATCTTTGGCATCAGCAAATTGAAAAGAACTGGAATTGGTCAGAAGATCATACTATTTTCTACTCAGGACACAAAAAACAAAGGAAGAATGACTTGCTTAAATAGGAAGAATGTAACAAGAGCAGTAGTTGAGTATAATGCAATCAATGATCAAATAATAGCAGTTAGACTTTACAGACAACCATTTAGCATGATGATTATCCACATTTATGCTCTAACCAACCAATACAGAAGAAGAGGGAGCTGATGGGTTTTATGGTCAAGTTGAATCTGAAATCAACAGAATGTGAAAGCAAGATGTGTTGCTTGTGGTAGGAGACTGGAATGCCAACGTTGCAAATATTAAGGAGGAGAACATATTTGGACTTATAGCTTAGAAAATCGAAATGAAGCAGAAGAATGCCTTATCAGTTTCTGCCACTCCAATTATTTCTTCATTGCTAATGCAGTCTTCCAAAAATGAAGTCATCATTACCAAGTCAGAAGGCTACAGGAATTGATAAAATATCTATAGAAATATGGCAAGCAACAGAAGTAGAATCTGTAAAGGTTCTAACCAAACTTTGCTAGCAAATCTGGAGAATGACACAGTGGCCAACAGACTGGAAAAAGTCAATCTACATACCAATACCAAAAAAGGAGACTTAACAGAATGTACAAACTATCGTACAATATCCTTAATTTCACATCCCAGCAAAATAATGATTAGGATCATCCAACATAGATTAGAGCCCTGCATGGAAAGGAAGATGCCAAATGTTCAAGCTGGCTTTAGAAAAGGCCAAGGTACAAGAGGCATTATTGTTGATACATGCTGGTTAATTGCAAAAGCCAAAGAATGCCAAAGAAGGTCAATATGTGCTTCATTGATTATAGAAAGGCCTTCAATTGTGTCAACCATGGGAATCCCAGAATATCTCATTGTCCTCATGCTAAACCTATACATAAGTCAGGAAAACAGACTGGAACATGAAACAGACTGGCTCCAGGTTGGCAAAAGAATGAGATAAGGATGTATGTTCTCCCCTTATTTGTTTAATCTATACCGAGGGAAGCTGGATCAGAAGAAAATGAATGTGGCTTTAAAATTGGAGGAATAAACTTCAATAATCCATGCTATGCTGATGATACTACTCTGATAGCTGAAAATGCAAATTATCTGCAAGTTCTAGTAAAGAAAATCAAGGAGCACAGTGAAAAAAATTGAACTTCATTTAAATATAAAGACCAAATTAATGACCACAGGCACAGCAACCAATCTTAGAAATGGCAATAAAGATAATGAAGTGGAATCTTAGAATTGATGATAAAGATAAAAAGTTTCTTCTTTTTAGGATCAACTATCAACAATAAAGGAATCAGCAGTCTAGAACTACATCCCGGACTAGCACTTGGCAGAGTAGCAATGAAGGCCTTGGAAAATATATTCATATGCTGTGATACATCTATACCTACAGAGATTAGAACTATGCAGGCATTCATTCTCCCTGTAACACTTTATAGAAGCTAAAGTTGGACTTTGAAGAAACAGGATAGAAAAGGTATTGCTGCTTTTTGAATCTGATGTTGAAGAGGACTCCTGAGAATATATGCTATTGATGATGATGATGATGATGATGATGATGTGCCATCAAGTCAGTGCTGATCATTACTGACCATAGATAGATTTTCTCCAGGCTGATCTGTCTCCAACCTAGTGCTTCAAGTCTTCCATTGCCCATTGCCACTGTAATTGAGTCCACTTTGTGGCTGGCCATACTTTCTCTTTCGCTTCATTTTTCCCAGCATTCTCAAGAAATAAATTCTAAAGCTGAGTGCTATACCTGTTGTCATTAATTTAGTGTTCTTTGCATAATGTATCAAAATATGAGCCCGATAGTTCGTGCCTCAAGAGAGAACTCTGAATTGATATGTTCTATGATCCATTTCTTTGTTTTCTTGGCTATCCATGTCACTATAGGCTTTATGATATTTTCTAGAAAACATAGTCAGGCTAGATTTTTCCCCCTAATTTATTTTGATTGGTGCATTTGGTTGCCTCATTCTGATCAACAACTTTATTGCATGGGTATGTTGGGGTATATTCCATCCTCCACCTTCTAATTTATATTTGTTCATTGAAGATGCTAGGAGTTACATCTACACTGATTTAGTTCTATTAGGATTTGACTGTTTTGAAGAACTTATTTTTTACTTACCTCTTTAGCAGCTTCAATCTTTTAAAGGTTTAGACAAATAATGCAGGATAAATCTTTTAATGGTTATTAGCCATGGTAGCTAAATTAAACCTCCACGTTCAGAGACAATATCCTTGAGAAAGCCAGGTGCAGGGATCAACAAGAAATGTCCATTACCATCAAGTTTACTTGTTAGCTTCCGATTGCATCTTGATAGCCACGGAGTCCTGCAATAGATTGCTTATGGTCTTATCCAGGCATTTATTTTATTCTTGTATTATAGTGCTAATATTTAATCTTCAAGCTTTATCTAAATTTAAAATAAAAGAATTTTTCCATATTAAGTTAATTCAAAGGCAAACTTAGCCAAGTATATTGTGCATGATGTAATCTAATTGATGTAACCACATGATGTAATCCTCATTGTAAGTGAAATATAATGGGAGCAGATGCTAAAGTGAAATTTGGTGATGGAAATGTAGAAATGCAAGTGTTTATGTATATGATTTTAGAAAACATTGTTCTGTCATCATTACAATTAAGGCAGTTCCACTTGTGTTGCTGACAAGTGCTTCCATATTAACAGTTTGTAACCCAACGGACGACGAAAGCTGCCTGAAATTAATTTAACCTGCACTCTGGGACTGCCTCAGATGCTCCTGCAGGAATTCACTTTAGTTCAGCTGAATCAAAGCCAGAGATTCAGTTCTTTTTGGGTATGCTTTAATTTGTAGGCTCTTAATTGCCCCTTGGTATACATTTATTAGACACAATGTCCATTTGCACCATGCAATTTTTTTTAAAAAAAATATTTGCAGTACATAATTTTAGCAGAAGTTCACATTCTTAAAGATGTTAAAAGTGATATTTGGGATTTTCCAAGAGAGGGTTTGGCATAAAGCCATTCTTTTCATTCCATCTGCACATGATAAGAACAGCTAGAATTGATGTCTGAATTTGCTTTTTTCTCTTCCGTCAATATCCTTTTCCTCTCTGTGATATGCAAGCCTGTGAATGGGAGTTGTCAGATTTACATTTGTCACAGTTAGCTTAAAAAACAAACAAAAAACAAGCAGCTAAGTATGGGCTAAATGCCATAAATAAACAAACAAAAATAAAAACTGTTAACATGTAAGATTCTGTAAGTTTATTATAATGCTTACTAATGTAAGGATTTAAAACACTGTGAGAGGAGATAATGCTCATTGTAACTAGAAAACAATAAACACGTGCTACTTGCTGATTCAATAAAAAGATGATGGATTTCATTATAGCCATCAAATCAAAATTCTGCCTTGCCATAATAGTTCCAATGTTAAACCGAATTCTGGTTACTATGCTATAGCTATAACATATAGCTGCTGCTCGTTCTTAATTGTGGCACAGGAAATAATGTATGATCTATCCCCTTTTTTAAAAGGATAGGGAGTGGAGTTTTGAAGGTAGACTTGGATATTTAAACAAAGCAAACCAGACAAAGAACTGGCAATGTAACCCAAAGCTATATATATATGTATGTATGTATGTATATGTATATGTATATGTATATGTATATGCATACATACATGCATACATATATACATTGCTTCTAAACTAAATTCATTGAAAATTAAACAGGCAGGGTTGTAGTGGATTGAATAATACGGCATATAAAAACCTATTAAACCAACCATACCTGTTAAATATTCAAAAGAGTTTTCCTTAAAAGGTATATTTGATATTTGAATTTCTTGCCTTTAAAATATCTGATTTAAGGGGAAAGCAGCAAATTAAGAGAAAAGTTAGAAGATGGGGTTAGATTCTGTAAACCTATTTCAGAATGATATTTTCCTTTTCTGACTGTCCCTTTGAAGTGCAGTGAATGGCAAAGCCAAACACGAGGCATTCAGCACCAGATGAATGCATCATTCTCTGACCAGCCTTGAAACAGACAAGTCCATACTGTTTTCCTCGAGTAAATGTTAAGAGAGAAGAATCCAAGTTTCATGATGCAGCAGGACAAAGCTGGGTAGTGAAAATTATGTTGCAGCAGAGTCTTGAAAATATGACTGTAAAAGTTAATCAATAAAATGTCTATTCCTGTCTATTCACTAGAGGCCCCAGCTGCATAGCTTCACACAATCGATACTACAAATTATTACGATTTCCAGGTTCCCACTGGACATTCTGAACAAATCTTTCAAGTGTAACAGGCTTACATCGTGGGGTTGTTGTAGCCTGGTTTCCTTCCTCTCCACTCCCTGCGCTTCAAATTTTCGATGTAGTTCATCAGAAAAAGTGGCAAATTAAACATCTTAAAGCCTCTGAATTTTGTGTAGCTGCTAAACTCTGGATTATTCTTGCCTTCTTTTGTGTTTTCTTGACTTTTCCTTCCAAAATACTTCTTGCACTCATATTAGACAGTCATAATGAGGTAGCCATGGAGGAGATAACTTCACACTTTCAGTTTTGAACATGTGCAAACATGTCCCAGTTTTGAAATCTTGAACAACTGCAAAAAAAAAAAAAAAAAGCACAGAATTATCTGATCATCTCCCTAACTTTTTTATTCCCTTATTTCCTGAAGATTTACCCTCCCCACATACACACAGTTCCTTTTTCAATATTCTAGCAATGTTTACCATACTGACAGACTGCTCTTTGTGGTCTCCTGCCTTAATACAAAGATTGTTTCAAATATTGCTACTCGAGCTCCAAAATGTACTGTATTAGATCTTTCTGGGATGTTATACTGACACACACAAGGATCAATGTCTCTATTTCCTCCTTTACTTCCTAGCTTCTCTATGCTGATAGCCTATCTTTAATTTTTGCATCTCAAGAGTGGGGGACAGCCTCAACTCTCAATCCCTTACTACTGATATTTTCTCCCATTTAAGGGCTCAGTTCTCACTAGAAATATTATCATTGTCCATTTAGTAGAGGCATCCATTTGTATTCTCACGCAATGGAGACCACATTAATCTGGTCAGCTGCTCCTCTTAAAAGGGATAGATGGACCAGTCTATTTGCAGTCCCTGTCACTTCCCCATCTGTTTATTCATAAACCTGCTCCATCCTGTTTCAACATCCATCTGTACTGTTTTTTTAAAAAAATATACCCCCACAATATTTGCATTTAAATATGAATATTTTTCTCACAAACTAGGAACTTGGTATGCAATTTTATCTTGAAGTACAGGCAAATATATTTTATTCTAAATATGTCTTTTATGCACATTTTGCTGTTTGTTTTACCTCAGTAGCATATCAGAATATTTGAAACAGTGTAAAAATCCAAGGAGAACTGCGTCCTAATCTTTGCATTAGTCTCAGAAGTGTAAACCAGGTTGGTTTGCTTCGAAGTGCAGATCAAACAAAATCCTTGCACATTTCTACTTGGTAGCAATCAATCAAATAGTGAAGCCAATGTTATCACAGCCATTGCAATTGCACATAAACATGGGGTAGGAGATACAATAGCATGCTTTTTTTTTTTCCTTTGTGGCCAGTTAAAATAGAGAAAAGGTTTTCCATCTGGATAGAACTATAGTGCAGTGTCAATCCAAATGAATTTTAACATGGATCAGCGTCTAACCAAAATGTATGTGGAAGTATGGAAGGTTTAAAATTCTTTGCAGCTTTTAGGAGGACAGTTTCAGTGGCCAGCTTACCGGCTGATTCCTTGGGCACTTTGGAAACTTTCTATATGATCTAATTTTCACCATCTCTAACAAGGTGCAAAAGCGGGGTCCTTGGCAATCCGCCATATTAATATTGCCAACAAAAGGTAGCTACTTGTCAAGTCTTTGAAGAGCTAAAATGCTACATTAATAATTAAATCTGAAGAAAAGGCTTGCAAATTTAGAAAATTTATATGCAACATGCTAGTAAAAGTTTAACAATAATCCTTTATATATTTTATTTCAATATAGTTTTGACCATCATGTATCAATATTAAAACCACATTCTTAATTACACATGGTTTTAACATTTTAGCTATATTTCTGCCTTACTTAACAGACAAATATCCATAGTTCTTAAGAAGCTAAACATCATTTTCATTCTTTGCTCATTATACTAACCTGGATTATGCAGATTCAGTTGGCATGTTTATGAAGTCTTATTCTACTCTTAACTTCTGTTCCACAGATGAAGCACAGTCTTCATAAAAGGACTGAAAAAGCCAATGTTGCAGAAAGGAATGATGGCACAACTCTTATAGCAGAACCAACTGAAGTGTTTATGCAAAAAGATGTGAAATATTGTTTGATACTTCTCCAATAATCTACATCTATCCATAAACTTTATTTTCTGTAATGAAGATGACAGATCTGTGTCACTACTTTAAAAAATAACACCATATTATGGCATTATGATCATATAACTAAATTTCCCTTTATGATATCTCCTCTCATACAAGACCACTACTACAAAGACATTCTATATCAGGAGTACTTTTAGGGCCCTAAATAACTTCCTGACCACCTTCAGGTACTTGCAAGTGCATTTTTCTATTTGGTCCTCCTTATGTCTCCATCTGTCCTTTCAGCAATTCTTTAATATTCTGGCTGAACAAACTGCAGCCCTAGAACTTCATGTAACACTTAACCCATTTTATTGTCCTCCAACCCATCAGACCACATCACCAAATTTTGGCAGCACAGTTATTCGTAATCAGAAGTACTGTTTTTCAACTTTTTTGATGAAGAAAATAAACAGAATAATAAGCATAAAGTAGTTTAACACAAGAAAAGAAGAAAGTCCCTAATTCTTGGAAAAAACAATAGGAGAAAAACCAGAAAGTTCTTGCTCTTGTCATTTGTATAGGATACAGTCCCAAACTTTGTTTCTTCTCTTCACCAACTGTTGCCCTCACACCCTAAATAGCATTACATTCATCTCCCAGCCATTGAAAGATTGCTCATCCATGATATATATACATCAATCAGCCCTGTGAAGTTACTAAATATAGAGCTTTTTATGTAATGGCACCCACCCTCTGAAATATCCTGCCAAATGAAGTTTGCCAGATAGCTGCTGATAACAGGTGTTGTTCATCTGAATGCTGTCCCAATTTGCTTTGCTATTCTTTGAAATTATTGTTGGCACACGATATTACGTGGGTGAAAGGAGACAAGATTGTAATATTTTTGAGTATGTGTGAGTGTGTGAAAGAGAGTTTACCAGTTTTTGTCTCTTTTTTGTTTTCTACTTATCAAGTGACCGCCAAGTTGCCTAGAGATGGTTTCATCAACTTTCCAGAATTTATATTTTGTTTTACAAACATTCCTTAGTCCTTCCTCACAGTCATCTCTGGGAGAATCCTAGGCACAGTTTGTCATCATCCTAGTATTTGATAGGTTCTAGTTTGTATATCTGCAGTCAGTTCCCCCATTGTATTTAAGATTGTAAGTGATGGAAACATGGTTGAGTATAGCAACGTGTATTTTCCTTTTTTTAAAATATTTTTGTATTTTATTCTTGCTTGATGACAGAGTCTTTAAATCTTATACACCAGCACTATTTATATTACTATTTCCCGCTTGGGAATCTATTTTGCTAGGATTAGCCTGTTCCTTGGGGTTCCAGGTAAATGACAAACCAGCTTGCTTGGCTTTTTATGTCATTATTTCAATGAATATGCAATACTTCTATGCAATAGCTTTAATACTACTGTGATTTGACCCAGTGTAATCAGAGATGTTTATCTTAGGGAAATATTTCACTTCTTACCACAAGTTTTAGATTAGTAAACTTCGTTGTCATCAAGGTATCAGTGATATCTTAGAACTTCTGCAGTTCACATTTACTTTGTGAGAATGCAAGCAGTCTGAGGCGCTGCTTAAACTGAATGCACAATGTAACAAGTTTGGCAGAAAGAATGCATTATTCAGAGTATTTAATGATAAAACGTAGACGAGAGAAAAACATTTTGCTGAAATGAATACCTTTCATAAGTCACTTAAAAACTGTACAATGAACCATAAACATGCCTTTGTTCATAAACAGGACAAAACTCTAAAAGTTTAAGCTTTTTTCTTAAAGAAAGAGAAAGGAAGATCTAGAATTTGAGTTCACTTTAGCAACTTCATATGTTACTCGTTACTCTGACTAGAAGCTCGAACTCTTAAGTTTGCTTTAATTTGGGAGCGTCTTGCTTTGAGGCAGCTTCTTGAACGAAAAAAGACAGAGAATAGGAGCCATATGTAACCTTCAGACCCCAAAAGAAAGAAGATGATGAGAATGCCATTGGCACATAAACAATAAAAAACACTATTTCCCCTCCACACCAGATTTTCACATTTTCTAGACGTGGGGAGAAACATTAAACGGCTGCTAGTTAACATCAGTTGGGTGATGGAAAATGGAACGTTGTTTTTGAGTGGAGTATCAGCTACTTAATACTTGCATTTAATCAATAAATTAGTCAACGACATTAACAAAACACAGCACCTGATCAAAACAAGCCCTAAACACAGAGCTAAAAGAATTAATGCTGGCTTTTGGCTACTCTTCAAGTCTTTCTGAAACATCAAAACAAACAGCAACTCACTTGTAATCACTAATTTCTTCGTGAGAATCTATAATGCATTCTCTCAGAGACTTCAGCTCTCTCTCTGCCATTTCCTACTGGTGTGGGGAAACTGTTTCTGCTCTGTGCTTGCTTAGCTACCCTTGACTTGCTTTCAAGCTGGATTCCATTAGAAGTTTTTCATCCAGGCTGGCAAATTCTTGGGCTGGAAGATAATAAAAGCAAGGCAGTTTCCAAAGAAGCCAATGATAGGCTTTTTTTGTTTATTTCTTTGTTTCACTGTACAGTTAATTCAATGCAAAACTGGATCTAGATAAGCGCTTAACAAATTTGTATTTTATAGGTCTAAATAAACCCATTATGTTTCCTGGATATTAACAGACATACAATACTTTAAAATGATTTTTTTAGATGCTCAAAATTAATTTTAAAGTTATCGATACCCCAATCTTATCCTTGCTTAATAGAAGTAAATTCCATTAAATTCAGGGAGATGAATTCTCAGGTAAATATTTATAGGGGTTTAATTTAATTTAATTTAAAAGTGGCTGACTGCTCCCAAATTCTCTACCCATGAAAACATACAATTTGTGGATTCATACTTCCTTAAAGAATGCATGATTTGTTTTATTTCAAAAATATTTTTGTCTTAATAACGATCTCTCCCTTTCCATTTTCCTGTCTGCATTCTATGCCTTACAAATAATTAAGATATAAACTGAAAACTTCTGGGTCACGATTTTTCCCCCCATTATGTAGAGTACCCCATACTATAAACAAAATCTCCTCCAAGGTCATCCAATAGATGGCACTCTTTCATTAGACCAAAGAATCTGGAGCAGTGTGTTTCAAGCTATCTCAGAAAAAATAAGCAATTTAAGACAAAGACATTTTTCCTTTGTTCTTTTGTTGACCATATTCTAAGAAATATATACATATATAGGTGTACATTTAAATATTTGTCCTTTAGCAGAGATATACAGTTGGCTGATTTGTTGTTGGTGGTGTTGTTTTAACAAAAAGCTTTAGGAAAAATACAGCCTCAGATATACAAATGTTTATTGAGTTATGTAGTCCAAGTTTAATGAGGTACAGAATTACATTTCAGAATAAACATGTATCAATGAAGAATGGTTTATTTTCAAAAGGGAAACCTATTAGTAAAGGTTGTACAAATAATTCAAATCTTAAAAAGAAAGAAAAAGCTGAGGCACCTTGCTGGAAAAGCATCAAAGGCAAAATTAAGAAGGTCACGTTTTCATAGATGGTAAAGTTTATCAAACATCATCCTTTTAATAATCCTGCTTTATTCTGGAAGAATGATGTGTAAATTAGGCTTCAATTAATTCAGAGCAAAGGGATAGGAATCATATAAAACCAATATTGTCATAACAAAAATTTGCTCACTAGTCTTTATAAATAGCTTACATATTTTAAATCAATCGTAACTGCCCTGATGAGCTGAATATAAATTAAAGTATTCAGTCAACAATTAGGAATATTTGGAACAATCAAACTGGCTCTCCTGTTCAATAAAAATGCAGTGCTAAAAGCATTTTATGCTGTAACAATTGTTTTCAAGAAACACCTAAAAATTAATATATGTTTAGGAGAGAGACTATATTAAATGCAGCACTAGATAAGAGTTTTAATGAAAATATCAATGTATTTAGTTTAGAAAGGCTATGTTTTTCAGGCTGCAGCGCAAAATTGAGAAGAAAGATTCACTGCAATTATTAAATTTTAAAAATGTAATACAATACCAGGGAGGGAGGGGGGACTATTTTAGAATCTCAGAAATACAAGCAAATCAGCTGGTAAATACCTACCCATAATATGAAGAGAGTTAGATCCTTCAGTAAAACTAAATGATTTCTTTTTTCATTCTGAAACACTGAGCTTGGCATAAGGAATATTCCATGCCATAAAATATTGTGAAAAAAAATTATTATTTCTACTAGATAGAATCTACATATTTCAGGCCAGTTTGAAGATTGCCTTTTGGGGGGGAGGGTGGCAAAATGTAAATGTTCAAGTACTTAAAATTATAAATGCAGGCCCCTGCTGCTAATCTTTATAACTCCCAAATGCAGGTGGCTTAACAAACTATTCCATTTCTTCAGAGTAGCTGATACGTCTGTGAATGCTGCTTTCTGACTTGCTGGTCCGAGATAAAGCTAATTTGAAGTACTGCCTGCTTTTTTCCCCCCCTACAGAACAAACCCATGGATATAAATATCCAGGTTTGTACATTTTCTAGGGAATTTGCCCTTTCCTACCGATAAAGCCTATTTATGTTTCCCAATTCTCTGAAGAACGTCTTCTAATTCATAGTGTGCTGGTTGAAAAGGGTTAAATTATTTTAAGTTTACCTATGCCTTGGACTTGAGCCTCTGCTGATCCCAAGCCAGAGGCGTGAGCAGCTGCATGCTTTATTTACAATCCCTTTGTCAGACTTACAACTGCCTCAGGCTATAACATAGTGTACCTAATGTTCAAACTGGCAGGTAATCTTATGTCAAACATACTTCTTTGATTTAAAGTGATCAATAGATTCTTGTAAAGAGGTAATTTCTCTGATGTTTCCACCTTGCCTTTCTTACAGGTGATTCACACAAAAGCCTGCTTATATGATGTACAAACAATAAACAGAAAGCTATAATCATGTTTTTTCAGATGTTTCCGGTGCACAACGATTTTGGATCAATACCCTGTGTAATACAATTATCTGCAATGATCTGGTTGTATTGAAAAAGAATTTGCAGCAAACCTCTAGGGGGTTTTATCCAGAAACATGTGTCTAGCAATGTTGTGAATAGTGGAAGAGAAAATTAAGGGTTTGACACAAGCTGTCCATTACGTTCCAAATGACTTCATTAATATTTTATTTGCTAAAAATCATATCTTTCAAAACTTTACTATAGGGGAGGATCTGTTATGCTAAAGGATGATAATGAGGCCGTGTCCTTTCGGTATTGACTGTTTCCTGAAAAACACCTCTTAACATAGAAGCTAGATGCCAGGCCTTTACATCCCAGGCAAAACCTATAGGAAGGAAATTATTGGCTGTGCCTGAATGAATGCTTGACAAAATGAAATGGGAAATTCTGTTTGTCTTCTGAATCTGTGGGGCTCCTATGCATGTGAGAACAGCTCTTTGTCTTCAAAAGGACTCAAGCCATCAGTTTTTGAGCCACCACCTTTCTATACTGACAGTTGAGTAACATAAAGACAATTTTAACCATCACGCCTGCTAAACATTATGTATTTGATAAGTGTGTGTATGCACACATTTTATCTGATTTATAAATTCTGCAATAAGCAAGTGTGCAAAGCACTGTAAGCTGAAATGCCTCCCCTCCCAATATATATTTTTCACACTATCCAGTGGCGTGCAGAAACAAAGGAACCACAGTTGTGTTTATTTCTGTTTGATAAAGCTGCTTTCTCCAGCTCTAAATTCCCCCTAAAGCCAGACAGGGAACCTTTTGTGTTCATTTGATTACAGCAATCTTTTGTCCATATGATTGATATTTCTATTCTATTACATAGTGCTAAATTCACGGTGCAGTAATATTACTATTTTCATATGTTATTACCTCGTCCCTTTGCATTGCTCCCCTGTACATCTTGCAGTTCCTGTTTTACCTGCTGAATCTCAGTTCCAAATCGGACGGCATTTTCTCTTCTGTTCTCTCTCTGTCTGGATACTTTCAGCTTCTTATCCATATTGTCAAAGATCTCCATCTCAGACATTTTAGCTTTGATATTGTCTATTGCCTGCAGAAGAGCTGGGTCTCTTGGAAGCTCAATTCTTTTGCATATTGCCTGTGAAAACAAAAAAACATTCTAAGAATATCTATACGGATATTTTTCTTTCAATTTGCAGCCTACTATTTCCATCAATAGGATAAAAAATGTATACCCTTTCTCATTAACAAAAAGGTCATGTTCTGACTTGTCCTATATGATCAAAAGTTCTACATACTTTATATTAGCCCCCACCCCCAAAGTTTGTGAAGGGAAAATTTTGCAATGAATGATTAATGTACCTTTTGCAACCTTCTGCAACTCATATCCAGCTATTAAGAAGGTAACTGAATTTGTAAAAAGAGATCTCAGGAGCTAAGACAAACTTCTATCATCTTAGTTTCCCCCTAATTAAAATGTTTTATTTAAATATAAAGAAATATCCCTGCATTGTAACTGTTACAAGATGCAAAGTATATAATTTCAGACTTTTGTTGTCCTTCAACTAGCAATATTCTTATTATGCTTATATATCAGCACTGCCATTTTAAAGTATCTTTAGCCTGTGAATATTCAGTTTACTTGTGAATATCGAAAGGCAAATAAATAAACAGTTCTGAGGGATTGAAAACTTCGTGAAAAAATTAATTTTCATATCACCCAGAAGAGGAAATTCACAAGCATCTGTGCTACATTGGCTTAGTGCCACACCTTGATTCTCTATCATGCTCCATCATGTTTCTTTTAATCTGAATATTTAGTACTCTTTCATGTCTTAATTACAGCAAATTGCACACAGTTGGCACCATTTCTTGAAATTAATCCCAGAGTACTTTGTTTCTGTCAAGCACACAGAAAGCCTTGGAGAATAATAGTAAATGTTATTGCAGATCTAAATTTAAATGACTGTCTATGTATTTAACTTAAGCCTTTAATTATTCGTGCTGCACTGTTTTTGGTTCATATATTAAACATTTTTCATTGAGAAGGTAAAATTGCATGAGACAGTTTAAAACCTGCAGATATGTTTGGATGTAAAGTTAACCTGACAATAATTATTTGTGTTAACGTATTTTTTCAGGTGTGTAAAAATTGGACAGTATATACTATGCTGTCAAGATTTCATTTCCCTTTTCATCATCGGTGATTATTTTCTTTAAAAAAAAAACACCAAATAGGTCAATATTATTTTTAGAAATATAACTGCTTTGTACTTGTGTGTGTGTGTGTGTGTATTCTTACACGGGGAATGTAAAATATGTATTTCTGTATCTAGCATGTTTCTGTAAAATGTGCAGGGCATGCCTGCAGACAGTCTGAGAAAATACAGGTTTTGTCATGGTAGCTTTTGGACTTGGTTTATTTAATCACTGTTAGAAGAGCTGCTTTAACCAAATGGAAATATATAGAATGGCCCCTAAGCTTCTGCCACCTGCTTCACATGTTTTTGTTTTGTTTTTTGTTTTTGCAATAGGTAAGGATATTCTATATAAAATAATGTATTTTTCCTCTCCCATCTATGTTGAACAGATAGCTTTTGTATGACTATTGCATAAAAAGCTCTCAGTCTCAGTACGTTTTTATAGAAGAAAAATGACTTCACGTTGGTCTCTGATATTGTGCACAGTCACAGTTAAAATGGGAAATGCAGTTTCTAAAATCTTTGAAATCATTTATATGGCTGTATTCATTTTTGGATGGAGGAAGATAGATGTGTGATTGTAAATGCCTACATTCTGAGTTAGTAGACAGCACCAAATGTGTAATAAAATAGTGTAGATTTTTGTTTTCTTCCTGCTTTTGGAATTCACATACATGCATGCACATGAACATACACAGAGAGAATATAGATACATTAAATGGTGCAAATCCCGGCTTCTTATCCTTTTGCTTGCACTTTAAAAAGAATTGCTGTTTTGCTCATTTTCCTCATTGTAAGAACATGGTTGATCTTTCTTACTACAAAGTTTCTTGGCACCTGCAAAGTCCATTTCAGGCTGTGGTATCTGCCATCCTAGATGACGACATCCCCTTTTCTATTTCTGGCAGAAGCTCCTGCCTTTAGATTCGGTGCTTGCAAAGGGCTTCCCCAGATTTTCTCTCAGTAAGCTGTTTGTTTTGACGACAATGTATTTTAGGTGTTCAGGTTTTTGGTCCTGTCATTTCTGGTTCTCAGACTTCCACTCGAGAAGCATTATAAGGCCTGTTCATTTTTTTTCAAATAGCTTTTTAGCATCTATAGTAAGAGAGAATGCAATTAAATTTTATTCCATCGTCACTGAAGAACGTTAATACAATTTTGGAAGTTGAACAAATCAGTACCTCTTCTGAAGTACAGTTTCCAAAAAAGCCCAGATATATGCTCTTCTGCAAGTTTCACTTCAGCAATGTAGAGCTTTGCTTCTGGAGTAGGAAATGACCCTGGAAAATCTGCCTTGCTTTTAACAGCTGTCTCGCAAAAAGAAAGGCACAGAGCCAAAGCACATGTGATACACAAGATTTGTAATTGCAAGGAGGTTTTTTCCCAACTTTAAAACAGTTACAGGATCTAGCAAATCAATGGCATTAGTGAAGAAAGTGCTTAACCCTTTTCCCTGTGTCATTTCCTCAGACTAAATGTAGATAGAGGCAGAAGAAATGCTTCTGTTTGATTGAGGCTGTTTCCAGACAAGATTATTATTGCACCAGCGCTCTAGGTACTTTGCAGATATTTGGCAGGAGAAGGTTCAGATAACATCTACTCCATGTAACTCACCTCTGTTTTCTTACCAGTTAAGAAAGAATGCTTCACAATGGGTATTGATTAATATTGCTAAGAGTTGTCAGTCTGGAGTTACTTCTAGAGTGGAAAACTTTTTCCCCACTGTAAATCTACTGGCAGCTTCAATAGCTAATTTAGGTTTTGGAAACAGTGCAAAAAGATTGGACTAAACACTCTTCTTCCAACATTGTTGCTACAATCAAATCAGAGTCTTAAAAAATGTCAATGAGAAGGAAAAAAAATCGTCTTGTGAGAGTCAGTTACAAATCACCTCTGTCCTATGAGTTCATCTAGTGCCCAACGATTTATTCTATGCATGCAGATTCTGGCAATTGCAAAGTTAAGGTTCTATTATTATCATAGAGATAGATAGATAGAGATTTGCACTAAGAAAGCGTTTCCTTTTGCAAAAATGGAGCTCACGTAGAATAATTTTTATCTACAATGTTCTTGTCATTTGTTAATATTATTCTTGTTTCTTTCAGTTCATCTTATCAGCTATCTGAATTTGGGCAACAGCCAGATAGGTCCTTTCTACCAACTGAGTTATCAGCTAACAGAGGCCAGATATCTGAATCCACATTTACAAAACTGAGACACAGATGGTGAATGTTAAACCATTAATTTGTCAGTGTGCATTTCTTGTGTTCATTTTCACTTGCATACAGTGGAATCCCACACTGGTAGACTAGGAACATATTATACTTTAGATATCATAAATGAAACACAAGGAAAGAAGCAGCTGTATTTAAAAAAAGAAAAACCACCTTTAGTTAAGAAAAGCCTTATGGACCAGACAAAAATTTGTGTAGCATCCTGATTCTCACAGTGGCCTACCACATGCCAGTCAGAAGTAGGATTTAAGCCTAACAGTCCCTGATGGCCAAACAGCCCATGAATTTGTCTAATCATTATTTAAATCTAAGTTGGTTATCATCCTTAGTTGTTCCTACAGAATGCAAGCACAAGAAGTCATTCTTATACTGTGAAAATGCAACACATGAGGACATAGTTGTCCAGGAGAAGCCACAATAATGCTGTGTGTGTCATGTAATTGCATAAATGATGCAAATTAAATAATTTGTGTACGTTGCATGATGCATGTGACATCTCTTCCCCCCTTTCCCCTCCTGCAGAGTTCTGGAGAAAAGCAACTAACTTTGCCCCCCTTTATCCTTCTTCTAGACATCCTACATACCGTACATAGTAGATGAACAACGGAATGTTCTGATTCGTCAGGATTCTCAGGGGAAACTAGATACTGAATAGAATGCATGGGATCCCCTTCACTACCAGATTATTTTATTTATTTATTTAATCTATTCTGTTTTAATTCATCCGATTCATTTAAGTCACCCTCACCTAGCTTTTGAAAATGAAAATTATATGGATGCTGCAGTTACATAGATGATTAATGACAACAATCTGGAGTTGTTTAAAAACAAATCCACTGCAAGAATGACTTTTATATTTTAAAAAGGGAAGGGATAAAAACAAAGATTATCCTTTATTCACCCCACATGTTACGGTCTTATCCAAAGATATCTTGGAAATTCAAATAGTGCAAATAAAACATTGGCTGGGGCTAGGTGCTAAAATCATATTATACCAGTATTGTAACATTTTCACTAGTTTCCACTATACTTCTGAGTCCAGTCCAAAGTGCTGGTACTAAACAAGTACCAAATGGCTGTCCATCATAGAAGACTCAATTCTGTTTAGCTTCCAAGATCAGTTAAGGTTGGCCAGGTCCTGCCACCGATGCACACATACACACACATACAACATACACATGTACATTTATTAAGATAAAGGAACAATAATTAACCAAACAATTTGTTTATTTTTCTAGGTTTTCCTGCACCAAATGTTGAGCTGGTGATAAATGGTAATAACAGCAGTGCTCTTTCACAGTGAAAAGCAAAACAGACTACAGAAAGAAAAAAAAATGCTCTTACTTGGTGTGCAAAGATTAATGGATTTTCTGCCCTCTGACAAGGTTTGTTAACAAGCCAAAGACATGTGTATGGGGAAGACTTCAAGACACTGTAAATAAAAAGATCAATGTGGAAATCAAGTTCCTTTCCAAAGATGTTAAGTTCTCTCTAAGGGCATTCTGCAAGGACCACCAATACAGTTAATTTCAGAATTTTGTTGCGGCTGGCTCTTTCACACTTTTCCCCCCTTTCCATAATATACAAGTGATGTTGCTTTTTTATGTTAAAACGTACATTGAATAATATGCTTGTGTATACCTAATAAACATAAACACAATGACTCTGAGTTTGCTCTTCTTTACTCTTCTGTGTCTTTGTACATCTGCAACCCATGTGTACAAATAGGAGCCTAGTAATTACTTAAGAATAAGTATCCCAACTGGGACACCCGCTCAGAAGCAGATCCATGGCTGTGACATGGTGTTTTATTCAGCAGAAACAAATGTAACTGTCTTACGAGGAATCAAGGAAAGGAGTGAATACCACTCTACCCTCGCTTCCTGCCTGCCAATCTGTTGCCACAGGGCAGTAGACCTGCTGCAGCATTCCAGCTGAGTGATAGAACTGCTTAGCAAGACAATATAGGATCACTCAATAAGACAATTAAAGTCAGTACATAGTCAGAAAGATAACTACATTTGTGAATAGTGCATAAATCTTTCCTGAGGTTTTTCAGTTTGTTTCTTGACTGGATCTAAGCAAATAGATGGAGTCTCATCTCCTCAACTTGATCTTCAGTGAAGTTATGGTGGCCCAAGCATTAATCTTTCCTTTGTATGCCTTCTGGAATAATTCATTATTAAGAGGGAGTCCCTAAAAGATATGTCTGATTTCTGCTCTGCATCTTCTTTGTTGGGTAAATCGATCCTACTTTATTTGCAGCATCAGCAGGAATCCTGGTCTTTTATGCCAGCCTTCTCAGCTGGGCTTTCTCAGATGTGTATTCTTCAACTTGTGGAATTTTCAGCAAAGTCCATGTTCCTAGGAGTTAAAGTTCACACATTTGAGGAGTACTCAGACTGGGAAAGGCTATTTTAAATTTGCGGCTGATATGTGTTTCTATTGAACTCACTTTTTCTTCATGTCTTAGATTATTTTTATCGTAAGACTCTTTGGAACTCCTTGCAAACTAAGGAATATGGGAAAAAAATCAATGACAAAATAGTGTCCTCTGGACTACTGTTGGGTTTTTGCTAATCCTGTCTAATTTATCCTTTGGTTAATTTTAGAAGACCATCCTGCACACATAGAGGATGTTGGCAAACCCGCAGTGGGTGTATGTAGGTATATAGATACCATTGGAGAAAAAGACAGATTTCACCTGAACAATAAAAGATTCATTTGTTGGGCTATGAGAATCAAGCAAAAGATGGACTGCCTCCTCCTTAATCTCCAAGATGCTACAAGTCTCATATTCCATTACTTCCTGCCTACTAAGAATCATCAGATACTGATTGTCTAAACTTTTCAGGTGCATTCTGACATTTTCAGATTAGTTTTTACAATCTTGTCAAGACAAAGAGCCTCTGCCTTAGCTTTTCTGAATGAGCCTCAGGATTTTTTTTCTTCCCATTTTAGTCCATCATATCTGATACCCTTCCTTCCCACCCCCTCAAATTAAAAAAAAAAATCAAAACAAAAAGTTTATAACCATCATCCAGGCTTTCCTATATATATATATACATACTAAGCACAAAAGAGCCAGACCAAAGAACTTTGCATGATTGGTAGTCAAGAAGCAACACGAATTAAAACAAAAAAAAAGTAAGTTTAAAAAGAACCAAAATAAAAAAGAAACAGAGGTTATCATAAGTTTCTGACACCCATGATAGCAATTTTAAATTTCCTGTTGTAAGAACCTGAGACATTTGGCCACTTTATACAATGCAACTTGCTGTTTCAGAAACAAACATTTAAAAAGAACTTGTTTTACATTCTTTTTATCCTTTCCCATTTGCTTTTTTGCTTCTGGCTTGTTTTGATTGTCTTGCCTTGCAAGTCATCACAAAATCCACTGATTCGTTCCAAGGCCAAAGGAGGTATGACATGCCAGGCCTGCAATGGAAGATTTCCACAGATATTGAATATTAACCATAGTTGTTCAGACTGGTGTTATGATGCTTGGCAAGAGGGCATGCCTAGTGCTTGTCTCTTCACAGAGGTCCCTCCCCCCAATCAAAAATACTGCCTTGCCTTGCCCTTAAAGCTCTACAGAGGCAAATTTACAGGTAACAATAGAGCATTTGCAGGTTTTCCTCTGTGAGCAAATAGCAGTTTCAGGCAAATAATTCAGTATCAAACTAGTTGTGACACCATCATCTGCTGCAGTGGGTATGGTCTGGATTGAAGAATAGGAAAAGTTTGATCCTTTGCCTCTTGTCCTTGATCCTATCCAAACTGAGCCCCCTACACTTATCATTTATAATGAGGGAAAACTCTCATGTCTGCTCTCTATCAAATTCAATTTTAATTTTAATTCCTATTCGGAACCCTGACTCTTTTTCTTCTTTATTCATCCTT